ATTTGATTTAAGATATCTTATATTAATGGGGAAATAATCCACAATTCCCCATTGGGGTTCCCCGTTGCGGACGAGGATGTGAATGTGATTATATTCCCCGATGGAGACGGGAACGAGGACGGAGATCGGGATTGGGGGGATGGAGATTGGGGTCCCTACCCCATTCCCAGGTCTAAGACCCGAGTTTTAAAAACATTCTCGTTAGCTTACTCAAATTATTTCGTAGTTATTATAACGATAAGTAATTGTTGAGGGGTTAAAACCGTCAAATTGCTAAACTTTTAATATGTATATATATATATATATATATATATATATGTGTGTGTGTGTGTGTGTGTGTGTGTGTGTGTACTATATTATAAAGCATTCAAATGAATCATTGATTTTGAATCATTAAAGTTAGTTGGGAATTGTGAAAACGGATTTTACTGATAGTGCAACTCTCATACTTTGACAGTGTATAACTCAAAAACCGTAAGTCGGAATAAGCTTGTATTTTGCAGTTAGAAATCCCTTATTATGTACTACAACTTTCATGAAGGGTCAAAAATCCAGTTATGATTCTGAATGGCTCGAAACAGTGTGTTTCACTGTATTCGGGATTAATCTGTTGTGTTTTAAAATTCGTATAAAATAGATGGATAATCCAAATGAGTTGATTATAAAACTAGTAGATTCATCATATATGATAATACAACTTTCATTTATATAGTATCTTCTGTATTGACCTCTAAGTGGGGTAAAAATGCTCTCGAAAATGAGGGATAGAAGCTGTTAAAAGCCGAGAACATAATTATATGAAGTTAATTTTGTGTTTGAGTTCTTAGTGTGTATTCAGTTGTCCTGTTTGAAGTTTTAGTTGTTTATAAACATGTAGGACCTAAGTAACTTGTTAATATAATTAGGATATGGTTTTACGTCGTTTAAGTAATAACAGATTTGCGCATTTGTTAGGCACGCAAGCAAGTCGAACTTTACCGTGAATCTCGTTTGATCGTGTTATACTTCTCAATTCCGGCTAAGGTACGGATTTCACTTTATTTGACTCTTGGGTAACTAATTGTTGTAGTTGACCCTTCATAACGGTAGTTCACCGGTGATTGATCACCTAAAAGTGGTCAACAAAACACGTACTTATATGCATAAATCGTTGAACCTTTATTTATAACACTTGAATTTGGTCTATTGGTTCTCATATTTGAAGTAGTTTTGAATATTATGAAATATATTAAAAGTTGACGTGTTGTGAAAGCTATCTGGGTAGTGATACATGTTTAATTTTATTGGTTTTCAACATCACCCAATTGATGGGCACATAAGTTGGGATGCCTTTTATGGCGGTTTTACAGTCATGGCATTCTGCAGGTGAACTCAGTCCACAAGGTTAGGGCCAATAGTGGCTTGCGTGAACCCACCTTGTGGATTAGGTCGATTTTATTGACTCTGGGGCAGATGGATCGATTCTACGATTACCCACCATGTGACTGTGGTTAAATTCATGGGGGACTTGGGGTATGTGCCCACACGCTGGCCCGATAGTTCATATAGTTTGGCCACCCCACAAATACTTCATGAACTGACGAATTTTGTTTAAATTATGCTTTGAAATGAGAATTGTGAAACGTCTTGATTTTCTATGAATTCAGTTTAATCGAATTGTAAGTCTTCCGTTTTATTATCGATGTTACGTATTATTATTTCAAGTTTATATTATAATATGTTCACTGAGCCCCGTGCTCAAGCCTATTCTTGTTTCCTGACACGGCAGGTTCCAAGTGATACTAATAGGGACGGGATTTGAGATCGAGAATTTAACTTTTGGAGTTTGTAAGCTCGTTTGTAGATGTTAATTTTCTAAGTTTAAATAGTTGTTAGAATGTAATATTTTAGGTTGTAAAGCATGCTTTAAAAGTTAATCTATGTTTGAAGTTTATTAGTAGGTCTGCAATGTTCGTGTCTTTGAACGAAGTCCCGTTAGTGACGTCGTCCGTTCCCGACCACATGGACGGGGGATGTTACACCTATCATATATGATTCATGTAACAAATCATACATGATCCGGTCGATTTTGCTCTATGACTTAAGTGGCCTCAAAAGTTATCTGCTTCCATTTATGTAAAGCCACATGTGAATTTATACGTTAACAACATTTTTCTTGTTTTCTTAAATAGTTAGCGTTAACCTTCCTATGTGTGTGTGTGTAGGGAGGTTCAAGTGAAAACAAAAAAAAAATGAAAAACTTAGGAACACCCTAATAACTATTCATCTGGACATGCATATAGGTAATTGAAGTTGTTTCTTGGTTTTTATACACGTGTGTATGTTATGCACAAGTGCATACCAAACAAATTGTTTAAAATCAGCAGTATGCACATGTGTATACCGTCCAGGATGAACAGTTATCAGGGTGTCCCTTAGTTTTTCATTTTTCTACGGTTTTCCCCTGAACCTGACCCTATATATATATATATATATATATATATATACATACAGAGAGAGAGAGAGAGGTGGGTTATTATACAACCTCTTACATTTGTACAATCAATTCTCAACCGTCCATTTAATTTGATGAATATATAATTTATAAAAGTTTTGATTATTTTCTAATATAAAATATTAATCATAATTAATGAACTGTATTCATATTCCATAAATATTTAAATTATAATAAATGAACTCTCATCATTTCCATAAATATTTCAATTTATTGGGTTGTATTGGTTGTACAAATACGATAGATTGTATTTGAAACAAACTCTCTCTCTCTCTCTCTCTCTCTATATATATATATATATATATATATATATATATACCTCCGCCTATAGATAGGTTCAAGAGAAAACCATAAAAGAAAATGAAAAATTAGGAACATTCAAGTAATTTTTATGCACAAGTACATATTGTACAAATGAATGGTTGTGAAGGTGTTCATCATTTTTTCCCCAAACCTCACTCTAGTGAAGGTGTTCATCATTTTTTCCCCAAACCTCACTCTATATATGTGCAGGACCGATCCTAAGATTTTTGATGTCCTGTACGAAAATAATAAAATATGCCCCTAACCCTATTTTTTAAAGCCAACTAAACATGCGATTTTAAGAGTTTAGAACTTATTTAAGCTAAGTATCTCATTTCCATGTTGATTTTTATTAATTATAATAAAAAAAATACAATGAGGGGAACATAAAAACCATAACCTCGAATAGAAAATATAAATGATAAAAGGATAAATCATGGATTAAGATCGTGCTTCCTTCTTTTCCAGTTTTCCCTTTTCCAAATTAAAATTAACAAAATAAAAACTTTATTTCAATATATGAGATTTAAAACATAAGGAAATTTACAATTAGTTTTTAACTAAGATAGTAAATTACATTCAAGTTATTGTCATAGCAAGCAAAAAGTTAAACTCAAAAGTTACATGTCTAATGACTAAAGACTAAAGACTAAGGGCTTATCTGTTAGCAACTTAATAAGTTTAATGGAACTAACAGCTTATTCGCTCAACTATGCATGAATGTTTCATAGTGGCTTAATGATATAGAAAGTGACTTATCCAATAAGCTTATAAGGGGAGCTCTATATAGAAAGCCAATTTTTTTTTTCCTAAACACATCCCTTCCAACTAAAAGAACGGTCCTTACATCTGCGAAAAAACTCTCTCAAACAAAATTTTTTCCAACTTATACAAACAAATTAATTCATACAGACAACTTTATACAAACAAAAACTTTTCCAACTTTTTCCAACGATGTACATTCAGTATTCATCACTACTAGGCCTTGAGCATGTTTTTATAGTTAAAGCTCAATTGTTCAATTCCCAAATTATTAAACCCAAAACTAGTAATAAATGACAACTTGATGCCCCTTTAGGCTTTGATGCCCTGTGCGACCGCACGGGCTGCACATGGCCAGGGCCGGCCCTGTATATGTGTGTGTGTGTGTGTGTAGAAGTAGGTTTAAATGAGAATGATACCAATTTAATAAAATAGAAGAATGACCAAATTACGTAAAAAATCACATGTGATCTTTCATTAGTTTGTGGTAACTATGAGATCTAATCTCAACCACAAATCAAATGTTAAATTAAAAAAATCAATAATTTTGATAGTTTTAACTTAAAATATTAATTAAGGGCATTTAGAGATTTTATAAATATCATCTCTCCTCTTTCCTCTCTCCAGCGAATCTTATTCGGCGAACCTTATTCCTATGAACCTTATGTAAACACAAGATACACATTGTAATACCTACAAATAATATTCACTGTGATACCCAGATATACATACAAGATGCACAATGTGATTCACAAACGCTTTTAAAATATGATGTATATTAGGTAACTAATTTTAATTAAATATTTCCTTCTAAAAATTTAATTAAATATTTTGGTTAGTTGTTAAAAATAGAATTATTATATTACTCTTTTAACTTATTTAAGAAATATTCTTAAATATCTCAAACGAGTGGTTCACATTGGATCTCATAATTACCACAAACGAAACATTCCTTATTTAATTAGGCCCCTATATATGTATGGTTAAATGAAAGACGAGACTACATCAAGAACATAAATACAACAAAACACATGTCAGTCTTTGAATTTTTACAATATTGTTGCGTAAAATATTACGTTTAAATTATATTTAAAATATATCATAATGCTTATTGAAACAAATAATTATTATATTTCTGAATTTATATTCTAGTTAAACCCCTTCACCCATTACTCGCTATTTTAATAGACAACTGTTATCAACCCTCAAGTTTGACATATTAAAGTAGAAATATCAAAGTCTAGCTAATAAGAGACTTAACAATGCCCCCTTCTGACGATACCTAGATCCACATAGACTCCCCAGAGTATCAAATTCCTTAAAGTGGTGGACGTCAGCTTTAACACCATCCCATCCCTATTGCAGCTTATGAATATCACAAAATTTACTCGAGAATAATCCAATTACACGCCCTAGATTTGTAGGCAAAATCGAAAACAAAACACATGTTTTTATTATATCAAAATAAAATCAAAAAACCCCTACAATAGATGGCTACTATCGGGTTAATTTGGGGTGGTTAGGTAGTTATTTGTATATGAAAATAATTATCAAATAAACTACCAACAGATAAGATCAACAACAGCTACGCACCAAAATCCAAAAAGCAACTTGCCTTTTGAATTCAAGTCCCACAATCTGAAGTGAATAAGGGGGCGCAACAACTCCTTACCCAATAGCTTAGGTCCAGACCTCCCAACTCATATTATAACTTAACCAATAAACTCCATCGATTTTATGTAAATCAAACTGCACTAAAATGTTTGATGACACTAAAATTACCAACAAACTTCATCTGTCTTTCCCCTCAACTACGTCCGCTACAAAAATGCTGCCGGAATCACACCATCCGCCCAACACATCCCTATTCGCACACTGCAATATAGATCATAAGGATTGTGAAATTAGTAAACAAGAAATAAGACGATATTCATACATTTACAACAAATTCATTTTGACATTTTCGTTTAGCCAATATAGAGTGTGAGAATTGTGATGTTGGGTTTCCCGTTACAGGAGAATAAAGATGGAACGACAAAAATGAAAAATAGAGAATTGATGAAGATGGTATAAATCGAATAGAATAGAACCAAAATGTTGCACAAGAAGACGGTATCATTACCTTACTAAACCCCAGCCAATTTGAATCTCCTCTGAACGAAAATGCTTTCTTGCTTTCTTTCCATTGTCCGCAAAATACCTGATCAATTTTCAGTTGAATGGAAGGAAAAAAGGGCAACCGATGCTAAACCAAGGTTCTTTGATTTGCAGTAGTTTTGTAGGTGTGATTTGAACCTATGAACTTCTCGTTCACAAAAGGTGTAACGTTCTAAAGATCACAAAACTTATGGGTACTCACCTCATAATCAACTCCTTGAATGTAGGCATAATTAGGGTCAATAGAAGAGAAAGATATCCCAGTTATCTGAAAAAAGAAAAAAAAAATATCATCCATTAATGTCTAAGAAATACAGGTATCTGCCAAAGGCATCATATAACTTCCGAGCTTGGACAAAAAATGAAAATGTTGCAGATGGTATGGGATAGGAATAGACGGGCGAGAGTGAGATAGGCAGGTGAAAGAATTGTGGAAGGTTTTAGGGTTTTAATTCGACATGTGTAGTTTAGTAATTTACCATCTCGTCACATCTCCTAGATATTTGTTCCACTTATTTTAGTGGGAATATTTTTTTTACCGTTTTGCCCCACTTGGTCCTGTACTGTCACAGTCTAATATCGTGCCAAACATGGAATAACAAGTTTTTGATCAATATCTCATGTGGGATGACTTCACGACCCGCCAGCAATCCTCTCTTTTACATATAGTTATGTTTGCCGAAAAACAATATGATCAATGAAAGATATTCAGAGTACCAAAAGCTTTCTGGAAATAGTTATATCGTCATTGATCTGTTTGTACATTTTAACAGTAACCTGGTTTCAATAATAACGAAAAAGATAAGAATACACGTAAGTAAAAGTGTGATCAAAACAGACCTCATATTTTGAGCAGTTGACCCATCTTGATATGGCTGACCATCTACACCAAACAGTTAATAAGAATAAAAGAATTGAGTTCATTTTAAATTGCAGAACATCATGAAAACCAGTTAGTGAGGAGTGAAAATTTCCAGATGTTATCAACTCAAGTTTGCAACAAGCCCTTTGTTTCGAGGAAAAAGGCATAGTATCCATTCTGTTTTCCATTTTTCAAGCATAACAACCCGTGGATCTTCTGATTCACCCTTAAAAAGGCCAAACTTATTAAATTTGTGGATTTAGCCGTTGAAAATTTAAGAAGTCGTTACAGTTTTCATGATTTTGCAAGTACATTCTTCCAATGCTACAGATTGAGTACATGTTATAAGTTCCACCAGTTGGATATTTGACATCGTTTCTCGTTCCATAATCTAAAGAATTGTTTAAGACCGGATCCTCCATGGAGGCTAAGATTAGAGAATATGTATATATGTATGTATATATATACACATATAGGGAAGCTCAAATAAGAATGACAAAAAAGGTTGAGAAGATGAGAATAGATCTCAACTGTCTAATCCAACGGACATGATTAAAAAGATGGTTATAGCCACCTTTTTTTAAACAAAAGAAAAATCCCCATCATTTTTTAATCGAAAATTGGCGAAATAAAATCAAAATTGAGCCAAACAGATTATACCAGAAAAGCATTTTATTCTCTTTGATCTTACATTCATAGTGTTATACTTTTCCGTCCATCTTTTCGTCTTTCTCTAAATCTCAACCTTTTTGTCAATCTCATTTGAACCTACCCCAACACACACACACACACACACACATATATATATATGTGTGTGTGTGTGTGTATTTCCCCCTTTCCTTCAAACTTTCTTGTATGTTTTAACAAAGATTACTACGGGTAAAGTCATATAACAACCTGCGAGGATCATACACGGTCATAGTACGATCAGCTCCTCCAACTGCAATATAACCATTTGAGGAGCTGCTAACTGCATACCAGATATCTCCAACGGAACCACAAATTCGGTGCACACAACCACCATTTTCTTTTATTCTCAAGTCCCATATTGACAGCTACAGGAACTCAAAGAAATGATAAATTATGGAACACATGAAATGATCTAAAGATATAAACCCATCTTGTTCTATACCAGATAAACATAGACAATGTTTTACAGACAAATGTAGGAAAAAAGAAGGCGTTAACAGGCACCGGCACCCTTTCCCTATCTGGGATTATCTTTGACATTATTCTGGAATGACCAATCTGTTAATCATGAATTTAATCACGCACGCTACTATTCTGTTTTGTATTATGATGTAAATACTGTTAAAAAATAGGGATAAATCAACAAATCTAAACCTTTGTTTTGCATTGTTTTTTAAGAGTAAATTTGGCAAGATCAGCCTTTAATGTTTCATTTATGACGAGGTCGTGGTAAGTTAGGTGATTGCCATAAGTTTCACCCTTTTTGAATCTTCGTGATGACTGATGAGGGCCTCACAGATCCTTAAACGACAACTTTAACAGGCTCAGTTAAATTACAAGCTCTTTCTCTATCTTCATTTCAAGAATGTCAAAAATACCCCCATAACGGGCTTCCTTTCCTAACCTACGTTATGGAGCCCTCTATCTCTCTTGTCCCTATTATGGGGAAAAGGAATTTGAGTAATCATTATAATGATTGGTGCTTGTTGATGAGGAGAGAGAATACAAACGATGTAATACGATTGTGGCCTACAAGCGCATTTACCGTTCTCTCTTCGTTTCCACAAGCAACTATTGTTTATAAATCATCACAAATACGCTTTATCACCTACACGGATGGATACACAAACAAAAGTACCTGGCAGCCTTCTAAAACCAAACCAAATGAACTCAATATATCCCACTCGAAAGTAGAGTCTAGGAGGGTGGGATGTAAGCAGACCTGTCCTCTATCCCAAAGGGTAATGTAGTTGTTTTGGTAAATACCCCACCCCCCCAACTTGCACGAAAATGAGAGTTAAAAAGAAAGAAAAACCAAGACTAGTAATTAGAAATCAACAGAAAAAGGTAGAAAAAAAATGAAATAGGCACATTGAAACATAGAAAAAGTACCTGGCAGCCTTCTGTAACAGCCAACATTGAACTTTCATTTCCACCATATAAATTCTGTATAAAGTTTACAGCAGTAGGGTACCACAATCTGCAAGGAGCACGGAACATTAGGGTGTGTTTGGTACACTGGACAGAACAGAATAGAACAGGGATCACCATTCCATGTTGGCAGGACTTTTTATGTGGAACAGGAACAGAATTGAACAAAATAAAATAGGCGTGTTCCACCCCCATCCCATGGAACAAGGGGGAACAGGCCTATATTTTACCTATATGACCTTAAAATAAAACCTAATTCTCTTCTAAAACATCAAATACGACTCGCTATTTACATTTTATTCATTCTGTTAAATTTTATTTATTGTATTTTATGCTCTTTAAACATTTTTGTCCTCAAAATATTATTTTTATATAGTTTCAATATTCTGGTTAATTTATGAAATTTATTAAATATTAATAATAATAAAATAATATAGAAAATGTATAAAATAAAAAACGGAAACTACATAAACTTTTTATTTTTGTGTCATTTTAATCATCTTGACGAAAACTTTCCAATTATAAATTTTGTTATAAAAATATTTATTTTATTATAATTTAATAAATTACATAAATTTATCAAAATATATAAAAGATATAAACAACTCATTTGGGGTAAACTTGTCATTTTATCTGTTCTGTCTTGTCCAGTTCTATCTTATCAAACGCTGAACAGCTCATCTGTCCTGTCCTGTCCTCGATACCAAACGCACCCAAGAATACTCCTGTCACTTTGTTTTCTTTCATATTTCAGGTAATACATGTGTAATGTGTTGTATACTTGTATTCTACTGTCCAACCATCCAGATTCCATATAGTATATATTATTATACGTATTATGTCCAGTGTCCACTTTTGTGAATATATATGTACATTCTATCCTCTGTCGAGATTCCAAATAGTAAATTATAAGTTTATAATACATTATAGCAAGGTTTGTAAGTAGGAAATCGTGATACGAGGCGTTTTCCCTCAGCAAAACGAGTCGTAAGCCCCCAAGGCGGAAAACAAATAAAATTCGTAAAATATAAAATATATAAAACATAATTTCATAACAAACTATGAAAGCCATAGAATTACGACTTATTAATCCTAAAACTAAAAATATAAATCCCTTGATTCAACAAGGCATCATTTCATAAAACATGATCAATTTGAAAGCTCCATCATCATAGCCATAATTTGGGGTGTGGAAAACCTGGTCCGAACTGAAAACCACCTATCTTGCGGATAACCAACCTGAAATATCACACGTTACCCAATCACCTATATACTATTTTTAGTTTCCCTACTATATTATCAGATTTTTAAACCTAACCTACAGCCAAACTCCAAACTTGTCACCCCAAAGTCCCATATGGATCGTCAATACTCAATCATGAATCGGTTAATCGACGAATGGAAGAACCAAGAAGGCAAGAACGAAATCCTAGAGACGTGGACTCCCTCATCTCATCGTCCCAAGATCCAAAGTCTCAACTCTGAACAGAAGCATGAACCAAGAACCAAATGGAAGACTCCCTCATCTCATTGATCAAAGTCTGAATTGTCAAACTGAAGTGTGAACATGAGACGTGAAGCTCTCGACAGTCGACTCAACTCAATACTCATCCAATGAAGCTCTAATTTTCTGAAGCCCTCGACAGTCGACTCTAGTTGGTAATTTTTAAAGTTTTAATTGGTTCATATTTAAATTTGATAAATGGTTAACCTTTGGTTTTTGTTATTTAAGAATCAGTTTGTCTGTATGATAGAATATCGTATGTGGATCCAATGTAGTCAATTCTTTTTTGTCTTCGTAGAATGTGATCTGTGGATCCAGGTTGTCCATTTTTTATGCTTTTGTTAGTTAAGAATCAGTTTATAATAGCATTCAAGTATCTTGATATCTCCACTTTGTCTTAATCACTTAAACTTTATAATTGATGGTTCTTAAATACTTAAACTTGTAGTCTGAAAATTGTTAAACTTGTTAACAACTTGTCGTTTATGAAGATATTTACGTTTTATTCTATATTTCTTTTTAGAACTAAAGATGGAAAGATTAGCATGCCTCAGTCTGATATTAGCCATCAACAACCTACTTCTAATCTTACATCATATGTCCATTCCAATTTGTTCCTGAAAGTACAAAGAAACGGAAAGCTACGGAAACAAGATCCCAAGTATGGGATCATTTTGGGAAAAAAAAATAAACAATGATGGTGTAGTGATTAACAGGAAGTGCTTGTATTGTGCAAAACTGTAAGCAGACGAGGATAAAAGGCATGGTACTTCCTAAGTCACATGCTTTCTTGCCTTGAGAACCGCATTCCAAGGAAACCAGACAGTCTATGCTCGCATTCCAATCTACAAAGTCTGAAAATAAAGTTTGTTGACTACTTGTGTGTTTGATCAATAGTCTGTTATGAAGGCATTGGCTAAGAAGGTTATTATTCATGAACTCCTTTTTAGGTTAGTCAAGGTTTAGGGTTTAAACAATTTGTTCATGTTTGCATGTCCTATGTTTAAGATATCATCCAGATGGACCTTTAACAGATATATATTTGGTATCGTTTCTGAAAGAGAACGAATCTTAAGAAACATTCAAGTCAAACAAGCAACAGATCAATTTAATTATCGACACTTGGATATCTATGGAAATGATCGATTACATGTGCATAATTGCACATTTTATTAATGAGTAATGACCAATGGAAATTGAATAAGAAAATCATCTCATTTGTGCCAATATATTCACACAAGGGAGAATCCATAGCCAAAGCCATAGAGTGTTGCTTGCTTGATTGAGAAATCAAAAATATTTTCACCATCACCAATCTCAATGGACAATGCTTTAAGTAACAGTATCAGTATAGAGTTCTTGAGAAGTAAACTGGTGTCTTGGGGTGTTCTTCTGTTAGACCTCAATACATGCATATGAGATGCATTACTCATATTATGAACGTGGTTGTCAAAGATGGTTTGAAAATGGCAAATTAGCCGTTTAGGAAGAATAGGGATCGTGTTACATGGGTAAAGGGTTCTCCTTCTAAGTTGAAAAAATTTAGAGAACTTGCAAATTTGATTGGGGTGGAAGAAAAAAGTTCTTTATGCCTTGATGTTCCAACTAGATAGAACTCCACTTACGTGTTGCTTCAAACTACATTACTTATAAAATAGTTTTTGGAACCAACAAGGGTAATGATGACTACCCATAATCACTATCATCCTCTTCTTCCAAATCCACTTAAATACTTCTCTTCAATGATGTCGAACTTTGGATACATGCTATCATCATCTTCTTCATTATTTGGGTCTACCATCCATTCATCATCTGAAGGCACATCTTTAACAATCAAAGATCATCTTCATCTTTTAGTGATAGTTTTCTCATAAAACTATACTTCAACCTCCTGTTTTACATAATGTAGACCAAATCATTCATCTTGCTTGTGCCTAGATGATTTTTACTTTAGGTGTGTACTTGATTGAACGTAGTCCAATTACATTCACACGTCTATGCCGAACAAGTAAAACCAAGAACCCTTATTGCAAATGTTTGTAACTCCGACACCTTAAAGTAGTTAATAATTTGTTGTACTACGACTATAATAAAAGAAGTGAGATAGAAGTACGAGTATTTATCAGGTCGACTTGTTTGGTAAGTTGACAACGAATATGTGAATCCAAACAATCCTTGTTTGTATTTGTTCACTTAGAGTTGGGTATCAACAACGATAACACAGGTTGATATCCAACTTCAAGTGTACAAATACAAACAATGATTGTCTGGATTCACATCTTCTTTGTCAACTTACCAAACACATCCACCCGGTAAATGCTCGTACTTTTATCTCTTTTTCTAATATAGTTTTAGTAAAAAAATGATTAACTATTTAATTTCTTTTGTCATTAATATATATATATATATATATATCTGGTTCACTAGTGAGATAACAATGGAGTTGAGGTGTCGGAGCTACAAGTGTTTGCAATAAAGGTTCTTGGTTTTACTTGTTCGGCATCGGCATGTGAATGTAATTGAAGTACGTTCAATCACGTACACAAAAAATAGAAATCGCCAAGGTATGAGCAAGATGAATGATTTTGTGTACATTATATAGAACATGAGGTTAAAGTATAGTTTTATTAAGACACTATCACTAAAAGATGAAGACGATCCTCTAATAGAACCAAAAAAATGAAGAAGACGATGATGGAATATCAATTGAAGATGACGATGAAGACGATCCTCTGATAGAACCAAAAAAATGAAGAAGACGATGATGGAATATCAATTGAAGATGACGATGCAATTGAAGATGCAGGCCGAAGGTCGGCATCATTAAAAAGAACAAGTATTCAAGTGGATTTGGAAGACAAGGACGATAGCAATTATGGGTGAGTTATCATTACCCTCTTGGGTTCAAAAACCACTTTATAAGTAATGGTGGTCTGAAGCATCATGTAAGTGGAGTTTCATCTAGTTGAAAAATTAAGACGTTAAGAACTTTTTTCTTCCATCCCAAGCAAATTGACAATTTCTCTAAAAACTTTCAACCTAAAAGAGGGCCCCTTCCCCACCTAACACCATCCCTAATCTTTCTAACCGACAAAACAACCATTTCCAAACCGGCTTGGACAACAAATTCAAATATGAGCAATGCCTCTCATATGCATGTATTGAGCCCTAACAGAAAAACACCCCCAAGACACCAGTTTGCTCCTCAAGAATCCAATAGCAACATTATTGCTTAAAACAATGTCAACTATGACGGTAAAAATATTTTTGATTCCCCAATCAAGCAAACAACACTTTAGGGTTTTGGATATAGATTCCCCTTTGTGTGAATATATTGGCACAAATGAGATGATCCTTATATTTAGTTTCCATTTGTACATATCTCCAAAGTCAGTAATTAAACTGATTTGTTACGTGTTTGGCTTCAATAGTTTCTTGATATTCGTCCTATTTTCAAAAACATATAACAAATATATCCCTATTAACAGTCCATCTAGATGGATCCTAAACCTAGGACATGCAACATCAACAAATTGTTTAAACCCCTTCCCCTTGACAACCCTAAAAGGGAGTTCATTAATGATAATCGTCTTAGCCAATGCTTTGCGAACAGACTCTTGATTAAGCACCTAAGTAATCAAAACACTCATTATTTTAAGACTTTGCAGATTAGAATGCGAGCATAGACTATCTGGTTTCCTTGGAATGAGGATGTTAAGGCAAGAAAGCATGTGATTTTAAAGAGAAAGTACCGTACTTTTTAGCCTCAGTTGCATGCAATTTTGCACAATATAAACACTTTCCTTCAATCAACCTACCATCATTTATCAAAAAAATTCAACATGATATGAGACTTGAGATATGATATCTATAGCTTTCTGTTTCTTTGTACTTCCACGAACAAACTGGGATGAATCGAATGGTATAGGATCAGAAGTAGGTTGTTAATGACTAATACCAGATTAAGATATGCTAATATTTTCCATCTTTAATTCTAAAATGAAATTTAGAATAAAGTGTAAGAAAAACTAATAACTTCAAATGAAAAGTTATTAACTGATTAGCAAGTTAAACATGGATTGTACAATTGTATGGTGACTTGCATGCAACTGCATATTACTTGAATCCTCGATTCAGATGCATTAGTTACATCGCACCTTGCATGCAATTGCATATTAATTGAATCCTCGATTCAGATGGAGTCTCAATATCTCGAATCATCCTGAGGTTAAATGTGGATTGTATAATTGCATGAGAATGTGAAAGGACGAAGCGACGATGACGAAGGTTAATATCCAACTTCAAGTGTACAAATACAAACAAGAATTGTTTGGATTCACATCTTTGTCAACTTACCAAACACATCAACCCGCTAAGTACTCGTACTTTTATCATAGTTTAGGTAAAATAAATGATTAACTACTTAATTTCTTTTATCACTAATACATATATGTATATATAGTTCAATGGTGGGTTATTGGTTTTACTTGTTCGGAATTGACATGTGAACTGCGTTCAATCAAGTACATACAAGAACATGAGATCGTCTAGGCACGAGCAAGATGAATGAGTTGCCAATTTGGTGTACAATATGTACAGCAGAAGATTGAAGTATATTTTTATTAAGAAACTATCATAAAAGATGAAGATGATCCTTTTGATTGTTGAAGACGTGCCTTCTGATTAGTGGATCATAGACCCAGATAATGAAGAAGACAATGATAGCATATCAATTAAAAATGACGATGCAATTGAAGATGAAAGCCAAAGTCCGGCATCATTGAAGAGGAGAAGTATTGAAGTGGATTTGGAAAATGAGAATGATAGTGATTACGGCTACAGTGGTGGAGCTTTCAAAATTGATCATGTTTCACGAAGTTATGCCTTATAGAATCGATGAATTAATGTTTTTAGGACACAAAAGTAGTAATCCTATGACTTCTATGACTTTCATAGTTTATTATGAAATTATATGTTACATATTATATAATTGATGAATTTTCTTTGTTTTCTGCTTTGGGCTTACGCCTCGAACCTCCTCAAGGCTTACGCCTTGCCTCGTGATTCTATACTATAAAACCTTGTTGAGGGCCATTTTATTTAATTTCTCATTTACATTTTATGGACGCCATGTTATTTTTTTCTTCCTCTTCCCCCTCAAAATGAAATCGAACGCCTATATATAAACTTAAAAATGAAACATGATAGCCTAAATAAATTGGCTCCAAGGGTTAAAAAAAATGCTGCTACATCTTGAGGTTTCTTAATTTCTTCATGGCTTCTGAGGGTGAATAGTTGATTATGTTACTAGCCAAAACACAAACTTATCCGATGTTCGGAGTGTGTGAATCTTTAAGATAAGCCAGCATCATAAACTGATAAACCAGATTACAACAAAATTTTCCATGCCCCCATCAACCACTATTATGATCATGAATGTAAGTGCATATTGACAAGGGCTGATGTATCAGTATGGTTGGGAGTTTTCCAAAAAAAATATTTTTATATTAGAAATTTTATTCTTTATAATTACATATATTCTTGACACCCCAAAAATATGGTTCAACGCCACAAAATTTATAGCCCGGTTTCATACTTCCATTCCATTGGCCCATAAAAGAAATTAGCCCAAAAAATTTAGCCAAAAGTATGGTTTTATTATAAACTTTAGCCTAGTCCCTTAGTGTTAGCCTAGTTTCTTCTAGTCTTCTCACTCATCAACTGAATCACCCACTCACGCCTAAGCCTTCACCCCACATCCCCACCCCTTAACCAGCATCCCCTTGTTTTGTGTCAATTACTAATTGTTAGGGTTAGGGTTTGTCAATTGCTTGGTTTTAAAAAGCGTGATGCGGTCCGAGGCGGTAAGGGTCCCGGAAGCCGATGCGTGATGCGTGATGCGTGATGCAGATGAGCTTGCATCGCGCACGTGATGCACCCGGTATTCAGAAAATACTTATAAATTAATTCTACATATCAATTTCTACCTTAAAAATACTTACCTATCAAAATACTTCATTTATAACATAAAGTAGTTCAAAAAGTGGCATTAGAATCTTAAAAAAGTTCGTGAATCGGAATAACAAAACACACAAACTACTACCATGAAGAACACAAGTAAATGTCTAATAGTCCCCAATCCCTAAACTAAATGACCAAGTGACCAACTAATACTCCCCAAGATCAGCATCATCAAACCCCAACACGGGTTCATTTCCCTCATCATTAACAAACCCTCCAATATCTGCTTCCACCTCAACTTCATCATTTTCATCCTGAAGAGCATGTCCTTTTCCTCTAGCACTTCTAGTTCTTGATGGACCCGACCCATCATCATTCACTCTCCCTCTTGATGCTCTAGTGAAATGAGGAGTCTCATACGCCACGGAAGCTCTACCTACGTCATCCCACGTATGATCATCATCAATAAACACCAAATCTTCATCATCATTGTCCATCCTCCCTATCAACCACTCATTACTTTCATCTATGTCTTCTAGAATGATAGGATCACTACTTCCCTCTTTTTTATATTGACGTTGAAAGACACGATTGAATTTCACTTGAGAGGGGCTTCTATTTTATTAGGTCATTATTACGTTCTATTTTAATCTACAAAAAGCCCAACTAAAAACCTCTAAAGAATGAAAAAGGAGCCCAAACATGAAACATACAGGATGCGCTGATGCACGTATCGTGTGATGCATAAGTGATACGACCACATCAGAGAGCCTCATGGAATCGTTTCACATCAGCCCCTCTGATGCGTTACCTCCCGCGCATCGGAGCCATTATGCGCGCATTTTTAAACCAAGGTCAATTGATGTTTAATTCTTAATGGTTTTGTTGATTGTTAATTGTTAGGGTTAGGGTTTGTCAATTGATGTCTAATTCTTAATGGTTTTGTTGATTGTTAATTGATAGGGCAACAGTCTATTAGTAATTACTCCATGTCTAACTGTTATGTTTTTGTTAATTGTTAATTCTTAGGGTTAGAGTTTGTTAGTTGATGGAAAATTGTTAAAAACAATTTGTTAATTGTTAACTGTTTGGTGGCTAATTGTTAATTGTCTTATTATTCGGCTAGAAAAATGAGAAGATCTTTTAAAAGAAATACACCAACATTCGGAAGCGGTTATGATAGTAATGATTCCCGTTTTCAACCAGTTCTATCGATGCCCACGGAAATTGACTTGAATGATCTTTGGGATCTATCCAGGGCGAAAAGAATTACAGAGTATCACCCTAATCAAATGTTACTTAAATTCCAAACCCCATCACCAAAATTCCTGGATCCAGATATGGAGCCTAATTTTAGTTGAAAACAATTAAAGGATAGCAGATTTAATGTTGTCCAATATGCTTTGTTTTCCAAGAAAGCTGTGTTTCTTCATGTACTGTAACTTCAATAATTAATGTCACGTAATAAAATCCTAGCAACACTGGTAGATGTGTTGAAATTGCTTAACCACATCAATACCATGTTCGAGTTTTCATTTCCTGTCATTGTGATTGAATATGTGAATATCAATCCTAACAAGCTGGAATAAGATTCTCGATTTTAACCAAAATTTAGAAACGGGATGAATCAGATGGTAAACCAAAACAGTCAAAATAACAACCATGTATATAAATGAATTTCTTCTAACGCCTGCCAATTTCTGCAGATCTATTGAAACTACCCCCCCTCCCACGTCTCAAGAAAAGAAAATGCAAAACTTTCATTTTTGGGTTGTCCCACAAAAACCAGCACTTCCTTGGTAGCTTTAAGTCCAAATTCTCTAATTTGCCCATTAGTAAACATTACTTGATGATTGATATTTGTAATTTTGATTTTGGCCCAGAACTTTCTTTATTTCATTTTTGTTAAAAAGCATTCTAGATATTTGATCAATAGTCAAACATTTTCATTAAAATATGTGCCGATTCAAACATTGGATTTTTTGGGGATGGAAGGAGTATCCCTTTCTTTCAGAAGCAAATACACCACAGTAAACATTAACTTGATTGATGGATCAAAGAAAGGTTGCATTTTGACAGAAGACAAATACTTATGTAACATGTACCAAGATGCACCAAAAAGAGAAAAAGGTAAAAAAATAACAGCAAGAAACATAATTACTTTGAAATTGAGCGAAACAAACTAATCAACAAGAAAGCGATCAAAGAATACTTACGTACGAAAAGTGCGAAGATGAAGATCTTGGTCATATACATCAATACTCTTGCCAAAGCTATGTGCCACAGCAGTCTGAAACACTAAACCATGTTAACCAGTTATGCATGTGAATGTTATTAGGAATGAGAACCAAAATTTTCTTCATTTGTGTATTGCAAAATCAAGTCGAAATAAATTTCTCCGCGATAACAATTACGGATAACCTGTTCTTGATTGTTAACTGAATTAAGGAAGCTGTTCTTCTCTTCTTTCTACACGATACTTGCATTGAATGTTTCCCCATTACAACTGCTGCACAGCTTGTTGGTTTTCCTACTCATCTAGAGTCCTATAACCATCTAATCCAATTAAAAGTGGTGCAATGAAGTTCAAGTTTGTTCAATCCAAGGAGGAATAAAAATCCCCTTGTGGCCACGGAGGTTCAAATGCGGTGACTCCGGGCTACCCGCAAAGCAGGTGGTCGCCCTGGGATTAGTCGGCTCGCATAGCGGGTTGGATATCCAGGTTAATCAAAAAAAAAGTTCAAGTTCATCCAGAAGGCTTAAGACAACTAGAAATGATTTGGCATGAACTGCAGTTCGGGTCCATATCGCTCTAGATTTTCAACTCTTTTGACTTTCAAAATACAACATGAGTCAAAGGGTAAAACGAGAACCTAGAAAGTCAACAGTTCAAATAGGCATGACAAAAGGTCGGACCCAAAAAAAGTGGAACTTTCCAGCAGCATCGATTGGCAAGTTTAAATAGATGGGTACAACAGCTCCTAGTCCTCTAACCCAAACTCCAGTCTTGATGTGAACCAGCTCAACAAATTCATGCAGCAACATTGTGGCATGTAGTTCATTTTCTTCGGTTTTTAAGGCTCCAAACAGAAGTATTGATACTTCAAAATAACTAGAGAGAGAAACAAAGGGGTCAACATCCCACGGTTTGGGAATTTGGTCAACCTGAGTAATTCCCACAGAAGAAAGCACTCGAGGCAGTAAGGGTACTACGTAATTAGAATACATACTAATAGTATAATAAGAAGGGGTACTTTGGGTGTTGTAGTAAGGTGAATCATGTGGTATGTTAAAAGGGCGTATGGGGAGTAGTGGGGGCATCGTTTTCTGTTATTGAATGGCTCATGCCTAGTGGAAGACAACCAGTAGCCTCGAAATAATGGTAACCTTTTCTTGTTTTCTCTAATTGGAAGTCATCAATCTAGCCGATTTTGGCGATTGAGCTATTTTGGTTGTCTATAGTTGACCAGAAGTGTACTTGCATCATTTGAAGAACCAACTTCCCAACCAAAAAGATCCTTACGTCATTTGTAATTTTGAAGATTGCTGATTTTGGCCAGTGCTCTTGTCTTCTTAGGATGCAAAACTTGAAAACTAAGGTAAAAGAGCTTACCAGGTAAGAATCAACACTTTCACTTAACTTACCGGGTAAGATTTGTCCACTAAAACGCCATTGTCTGCAACAATTTATACATAAGGGCTTACCAAGTAAGAGTCGTTACTCTCACTTATTGGGTAAGACTCTCGGTCCTTGTCATCGCTCTTACCGGGTAAAATTCTCAATCATTGGCATGTTTACCCAATAAGGTAAAGTAACCCAGTAAGCACTTACCGGGTAAGCATTTAGTAAACGGCCCCTAAGCATATGGGTTTATGACATTTTTCATTTTATAGTACTAAACGTTCAACGAGACTTTTTATGATGATATTTATTGAATAGGAACTCACTAAAGAGATTGTTTGGTAGTCGTATCGTAAGTGAAAAAAAGTAAAAGATTTCTTAATAATAATTCGAGAAGGTATATACTAAATTCCTAAGTCAAAATATCTACCTTCATGTTATTGTTTAATGAACTAATGACTAGCCTAGAAGCGGTCAGCATCTAACCACTAGTTCATTAAGATATTCTAATGATAAGAATAGACCATTGAGAAAAACAGTTAATAGAGCAAAAAGGGAACTATATCCAACCATCCGTGAAAGCCCAAAAATAGCTTTGAGTAATCAAATACGTACCGTCGACCATTGAGATGGACTGAAGCAAAGCCCCGCCCATCCACCTTCTCCAACTCCAAAATCTCGAGGTGATACAGAAAATGTAAGCCTTTCAACATCTGTACATTTATCAAGCACGTCTATAAGTTGAAAAGAAAGTTGTTAAAGAAAATTAAATAGATTTATTTGGCCTTAATGCTCCTGAATTCACTAGTTTATTCTACATAAAATTATTGACTTGGAAGTTGGCAAGACAAATAACTAATATAGGCATAACAAATTAGATCATCAATAAAGTGTAAGAATCAAAATGCACCATATGATAATTATTTTACATATTTTATTGAATATAGAAGGAAAAGAAAAAAAAATGGTAAAACACAAATCAGCAAGAGATGCATTGGTCTGCATTACAGCTAAAATATAAACATCATATATTGGAAAATTTGAAACAAGAAATTTCACCTCCAGATTCAAATAGAAATCAAACAAGCCAAAAGTGAGAGAATATAGAGGATAACAACAAAATGTCTAAAAATGGTACCTTTACTGTCACTATCCAACCTGGAAACTATAAGATGCCCATAGGAGTCGACACTTCCCAATATTAAACGGTCATTGCCTGTAGATGTGAGACCACAGAATTTGAAATTTTAAACACATAAAGAACAAAATGACACTCTTTGCATTCCCTATTAGTTGTCAACTTGTCATACATTGTTTGAATGTCAAACTAACTACTTCCATTTTCAAGATTAATACGAATATGTAGTTCTAAGAAGAAAAAAAAATCCCTAAATACATCAAAAAATAAAAAAATCAATGTAAAAACATAAAGGATATATAACAATTATAAACTTGACAAATACAAGTCCGACAGTCAAACTCGAAGGAAGACAACTAATAGAGACTGAAGCTAGTATATAATTATGCATGAAATCATAAACATAATCCAGAATACCAAACTACACAATAATAAAATGTTTTGCGGGGTTGGGACCTCAACTAAAGGGTTGTCTACTTTTTTCCATTAAGCCTGTATGGTTAAGCTGCCTTTCTGGATAAAAATATATTGTTGTTTCTTTCTTTACTTAAACCAATGATCTGAATGAAAGAAATGGCAGTTTTACCCCTCAAGACATGTTTTTCCAAAGATGCTAGCATATCTTCCTAGTTAACGACCATCGCATCGTCAAGTGAAATGTACCACATTTAGTGCAACAGATTAATTGTCTGCATCAAAACACACCACTTTCTGTGGCCAAATTATAGGTCTATATCTCCAAACATGATGACAGTCTCTTTTTATCCAACTGTTGAGTTAACTTTTAGGGCCATTAGTACAGTAAATTGATACGGAGAACTAAACAATAATTCGCTCACACAGAAACAATAATTCCAACTCGAATCCAAGTTCTAGAGGATCTTGTAAGCAACAAATGAATTTTGAGACCAAGGAGGAACATTTGTGATAATCAACAATTACCAGCACAAAATGACGATACAAAGGCAAAAATAAACTCAAAAAAGGGTACCCACAGAAGTGACCTCTATATTAATCCTAAATAAAGTATTAGAGTACGGTTTATGGAATATGCAGATGACGAAGACGAAAACCAAATGGTATTTACAGTTGGGTATATCAAAAAAAAAAGTTTTATTTTTAGAAAGGACAATGTGATGGTGTACTAGTAGCTCTGTCTGGAAAGGGTAAATGAATATATAGCATTACAGATTCTAAGTTATGGAGACATTAGCTAGCATAAAAGAAAAGTAACAGTTACTTCCATAAACGTAATGATCACATGGCGCATACTCTCAGTTTCATTCAATACTACTGTCTGAATTTCCGACCGATGAGGGCAGCGATTCACTATGGCAGAGTCCACAACCTTCAAATATTAAGGTTTTATTACGTCAATGCACATCTATCAAAGTTATACCAATTTGAGGGTGGGGTTTAAGTAAAACGGAGCACAATCGGACTACTTGAGTAACAACAAGATCTTATCAAGGTTTACCTGAGTGTGTTCAGGTATAAGGAGGCTATCCTTTCCTTCATTGACTAAAGAATCTTTCAAAGAGACCTACACGAGAAAAGGAAAAAACAGAAACAAGGTTATAGTAAATTGACCTCAAAATAAACTGGCATGTGTAGAACAACAAATCAAGGCTTGGATGCATGCGAAACTACAACTGCTCATTAGAATAAGAAGATAAAATGCTAATATTAAAATGACAAAAACTTGATGAAACCAGATTTTGGTTTCTGAGAACCACAATTTTGTTGGTAGTTGGTACAGATTAAAACATAAAAACATAATAGACTGAGTAATTGAACACTTTCCTTACAGTCTGGAATGTATTGCGAAATGATAGGGAATCTTGTTTAGTCCTTCAGTTCTATAGAAAGGGATACAGCTTAACTTTCAAGTACTTTTACATCCAAAAGGCTTTTTACATATTTGACACCAACATAGTTCACCTTCTAGTATTTATTAAAATGTTCAATGAGGGTTACCAGATCGTTCTGAATACTTTTTTTTTTTTTTTTTTGTAAGGGTGTCCGGGCCAAAGCCCGACTAATCCCCGGCAATTTTGGAGGCTAAACATGGCCCCACTTAAATGT